CCACCTAGTGGCAACAGGAAATATCACGTTTTATACTTTCATGTTCTACTCCTAGCAGGATGATCAGATCCAGCTGAAATTTAGTCCCACCCTGAACACATCTATGTGATAATACTGACTAATAGTAGTAATAGTACCACCTAGTGGTAAATGAAATGTGGACCCATAACCCAAACACAACAGGAAGTTGGCCATTTGGAATTGCGTGGTCATTTTCAGCATAATAATAATCTTATGATCAGGTATTCAAAGTTTAGATCTTAAATAATAATCCAAACTTTAAAAATAACAAATCATTTAGTTTTTCCATAGAAATCAATGAAATGCTACCTACCACCGTGTATACTTTTTATTTTTTCAAACCCCTGTGAATTTTTCGCGACCCGTAGCTGGGGTCAAGACCCCCAGGTTGGGAACGACTGCTGTAGGGGCCACAACAGCTAGAGGAAATAAATAAACACTACACAGGGATAAATGCACACTGTGGGAGTTTTCAGTGACTTTGACATTAAAGACAGTACAATACTAGCTATGCAAGATCATTTTGCCAGTTGTATTAGGTCCATGCACATGTGCGCAATTTTCCAAGCCGTGGCTGTGAGCCACTACTTTAATTAAGGTTTTGATGATTAGATTAGAATTTGCTTTTCCTAGTTCATGTGCCTTTTGATGATATTATTCCTTTAATTTTTTATAACTTTTAATATGTGTTATTAGTTATTGTACACAATGTTGCTTAAAAGGACCAGTGTGTAGGATTTAGTGGCATATAGCGGTGAATTTGTAAACTGCAACTAACTGAGCAAAAATACACACACCCCTATTCAGAGCCAGTGTTTGGTTACTGTCTGGGCTACTGGCGGTTCAAGATGGTGGACATGGTGTAGATAGAAAAGCTCATTATAAGTTAATGAAAACACAACAGTTCTTATATTCAGGTGATTATACACTAATGAAAACATAGCTATGAATATATTTAATTTCTGACAATAGATCCTTATTATTGTTATTTTATTGATCCTGTCTTGGAGATGTGCACCAATTCTGTGGTTGCAGCCACACCCAGTGTTTGATCAGATTACTTTGAAATGTAGTCAGCTACTAAATACTGAATACAAATTACAATTTTTGTAATTAGTAATCAATTGGATTTAAAAAAAAAAAAAAAAAAGTCACCTAATCTGAATAGTTTTGGATTACTTTAAACCTTTACTTTTCTGTGTTAAAAACCATTGTTGTTATTAGCCATCCACTGGCAATCCTACAATGCTTGTTTGCTCGTGGCCCAGTAATACTGTTAGCCTTATGTAGAAAAAGATTTGCTTCTACTACTGCTGCTAATAATTCATGTTGCATGAGGTCTCACTTAGGCATGGGACCATATGAAAATTACTGCATACTTTTGAAATGGTACTAATACATACTGGAATCACTCACACACACACAATCCCTGTTCTTTATTGGAATCTATACCATCATTAGGGCCCGAACACTGACTGTGCGAAGGCCCTATTGTAATTGAAGGAATTCTTTTTCTTCTTTTTCCTCCCAAATGAACGTATATTTGGAGGCTTTCCCGTGCTCGAAAATTCATGGAATGCGTTGCACGTCAGTCGTGGCGAAAAATTCGGTATAAGCTATAAGCATGGCAAAATGGGCCCTCAGTGACCCATAAACTGTACCACCCAGGGCCCCTTTCACAGATCACAGTAGATCTTATCCAGACGAAAAAAGACTAAAAAAAAATGTCTATGTGATAATATTCAGTAATAGTGAGTGCATCACCTAGTGGTGAAAGGAAATTTTTATACTTTCATGTTCTACTCCTAGCAGGATGATCAGATCCAGCTGAAACTTGGTCAGGACATGCAAAACATGTTGTTGATGGTATTTCATGATTGTGGTGAGTTTTTGTTAAAGGGCGTGTCCGTGGCGTGGTGTCAAATTTTGATGTACTGCCAGAACACACAAAGTTGCTGTAACTTGAGTGTACATCGTCCAATCGGTTCCAAACTTCACTTGTCTTATAAGAGTCCCACCCTGAACACATCTATGTGATAATATTCAGTAATAGTGAGAGCGCCACCTAGTGGTGAAAGGAAATGTAATTTTTATACTTTTATGTATATCTTCCAGCAGATTGACCAGATCCAGCTGAAATTCTGTCAGAAGTCCCTTAGGATGATGACAATGACATGTCATGAATCTTAAGAATTTTTGTCGAACCTTGTTGCCATGGCGACGTGGCGAAAATCAGCTTTTGTGTTAACATTTGAACAATATTTGGGGCACTAAACGGGCCCGAAAACTCATGAAACTAACCTCTTGTTCCTGTAGATGGGCGTCGCAAAATGGCTTAGCCATGCCCCCCAGAATCAGCCCCCAAGATACGTATGACCATCATGTACGAAAAATGGTACGCATGTGTATCATGATCGG